TTATAATTTTTTTTTATTTTTTTTTTTACAAATTTCACTCCATACTACTTATATTTTAAATAATTATATATTATTATATAATTTTATTATTTTTAAAAATAATTCATAAGTTTTATGCTACTTTTTTTTTTCAATGAAAAAACTATTTTATTTTAGAAAATATTATTTAAATTTTAATTGTTTTTGTTTTTTAATTTAAAAAAATATAAATTTTGTGTTCATTTTTAACAGTAAATGCACCATAGAAGGAAAGGAATAATTTGTGTAATTTTCACTCTCATCAAATGATACAAATGAAAGGCTATATATAGCCAGCTTATGAAGCAGAAGACGACAAAAGAGAAAACGGAAACGTGCGGCACTGAAAACAGAAAAATGAAAAATGAAATCTAGTTTGTTACACGAGAGAGAAAAACAATATCCACTGTCGAGCATGACTGTTGCATCATACATAGTGAATTGGATGCATATATAATCTCATCATTTAAGCTCTGCGATAATAATTTTAATCTAGAATATGATAACAAATATTTTCTATACATAGATCACAATTATTTTTTTATAAGAAATAATTATGTTCAATGTTAAAGAAGTAATCAAGGTTACCAAGATCCTTGAGTGAAAAAGTATAATTAAGCTGAGAGATTAAACTATAAATAATCGTTGAATTATAGCATGTAATGATAACGTCATCTACATATACCAAGATATAGATGATATTATTGGCATAGGAGTAGATAAACAATGACAAATCAAGTTTGCTTACTTGAAAGCTAAAGTGCAATAAAGTTGATTTTAATTTCTCAAACCAAGCACGAGATGCTTTTTTGAGCTTATAGATTGTTTTGTGAAGTTTACATACTAGACTCTTATCAGTAGATTCAAATCCTTAAGGTTGGATCATATACACTTCTTCTTCAAGTGTTTCATTGAGAAAGACATTATTGACATCTAGTTGTTGAATATGCCAATGATGGGTTAAGGCAAAGGTAAGAATAAGCGAGTAATGACAAGTTTGACGAACAAATGAGAAAGTTTCATTATAATCATATCCAAATTATTGGTGAAACCCTTAGCAACAAGGTGGGCTTTGTATTTTTGGACAATGCTATTAAAAAATTTCTTAATACGAAAAACCCATTTCCATCCTATGCTAGTCGTATTTGGTGGTAGATTAACAAGGACCATGTGTCATTGTGAAGTAAGACATGTATTTTGTCTACATTATAATAAATCAAGTAGAATTGGATAAGGCTTGTTTAGTTGTTTTGGGTTCAACATGGGTTAGCAAAAGGGTTGATTGTAAACATGATTTGATAATTCCATCTTTTGCTTTTGTCATCGTAGAATGAACATTATGATGATGAATGGTTGGATGATTATTGGATTTTATGATAGGTGGTGTAGGGATGGATAAATTGGAATGAGACATACTAGTTGTAATATCTTGTGAATTAGGTGGTTCAAAAGGAATGTTTAGTGGGGTTGTCAATGTGTGAGGTTCAATCTCCATAGCAGGTGATGTTTCATAGGTGAAAATTGAACAATGTTAATTTGAAGAGGTTGATGAAGTATAAGGTGTATAGGTATAAGTGTTGGTTACAATAAGAGGAACCTAGACAATTTCTTAGGGAGATTGATAGTTAATGCAAAAAAGATGTCCTTGTAGGGAAATCTAGTTTCATTAAAAACAACATCATCGAAAATATAGAGACACCCCATCTACTACAAGGCACTTGTAGCCTTTGCGAGATGTGGAATACCCTAAAAAGATGCATTCTTGTGATCATAATTGAAGTTTGTTTTTGTTGTAAGGTCAAAGATATGGAAAGCAAGAGCAACCAAAAAATTTGATAAAGTTATAATCTAGAAGTTGATGAAAAAGCTTCAGATATGGAACTTATTTTGAATAGAAGATGATGGAAGCCTATTGATTAAGTAAATACTAGTGATAAAAGCATGATCGCAAAGCTGCATAGACAGATTAACTTAAGCTAACAAGGTGAGACCAAGTTCAACAATTGCCTATGTTTACATTCTACTACCCCATTTTAGTGGAGTGTGTGTGAACATATGATACGATGTTGTATTCCAACACCATTGAGATATGTTGCGAAGGAACGATACTCTCCTCCCCAATCAATTTGAATGGCTATAATAGTTAGTTGGTATTGATTCTTAACCACAGTGTGAAATTGTTTAAAAATATCAAGAGTTTGGACTTTGCTTTTAAGAAGATAAATCCATGTGAAACGTGTGTAAGCATCAACAAAGGTAACATAATATTGATACCCCACATGTAGATGAGTCTAGTGTAGGGCCCCGTAAATCATTATATATTAATTCAAAAGGTGCAGTGTAAAAAATTTTAGACAAACTAGAATATAATCTATAGGGTTTGGCAAGATAAAAAGGAGCACAAAAATCTGGATCAATTTTATTCATAGATGAGAAATTGCAAATTTGAAAAACAAGTTTCATTACATCAGTATTAGGATGACCTAATATAGAGTGTCAAGTGGGAAAAGAAACATAATTTTTAGTTGTTGTATGAACAGTAAGATGATTGACAGTTTGAAAAGACTTGAAGGGTTGTTTGCTAGAAGTGGAAAATAAGGTAGGAAATTGATATAGACCATTTGAACCAACAAAGCATTGGAGAAGAATTTCTTTGGCAGCCTATGATTTTACCTAGCGAACACTGGGATGAAACTAAAAAAATACAAAATTATTTTTTAAAAAATTGACTAAAGCTAATTAGATTCTTGATAATGGATGAAACAAAAAGAAGATTATTTAGAGCAAAATAAAATTTAGGATTTATTAGGGAGGAAAAAGTAGTAACAATTGTTGAATTAATATTAAGGCCCTAACCATTTCCAATGTTGGTTTGATCTAGTCCTTCAAAAGGGGGTTAATTGTTGAATATTTTGAGAGACATTGGCTACATGATTTGAAGCACCAAATTCTAGATACCATGTGTTATTTCTAGAAGAAAAGGATGAGACAATTATAGCCTAAGATTGTAGTTGTGAATTGCCTTTTGTGTCGGTAGAAACAAAGTACACTTGTGGGGTGGGAGGTGATCAAGACCCAAGAATTCCATTCTGGTTGAGTGGAGGACAAGAGAACTATTGTGAAGATATGGGGATGTATTGCACTAGAATAGATTGGGTGTTGTACCAAGTATTGGGATTGACAATTTGATTAACAAAGGTAGAAGTAGGTGTATCTAGTGGAGAAGATGCGACAAAATTCTCATCAAATTTGTAGTAATAGGAAAATGCAACATATCCATAACAATGGCATTGAAATCCAGCAAATCTGCCTCATCCACGACCATTGTGGTTGTTGAAATGACCATTAGGAGAGCTAGTTCGACCACCGCAATGTTGGACGAACTAAGATCTAAGTTCTTGATGGGTAAGATTTTCCTGTGGGTTTGATATGGAAGAATTGGATTCAAAGGAAGTTGTAGCGACATTAATGAAAGCAACAACTTTTTTCTTGAATTTATCAAGGCAAGATCCATGTCCAAGAAGCAAGGTTTCCACCTCATCCATGGACAATAAATCAAAGCAACTTCTGAGAGACACGATTGATTCATATTCTTTAAGTAAGCCCTCAAGAAGGATATTAAGATGTTCCTTTGAGGAAATAGAGTCACCAATGGTTGTGAGGGCATTAACAAGGGTTTGGATGTGGAGAACATAATTTGAAATGGTTTGACTCTCAAGATTGGTGTTGCGTAGTTCATTGTGGAGTTGACTAGCTTTGGCATTTGTGTGAGAATGAAAGTAAGAATGTATTTTATCCCAAAATTGAAAAGATGCCTTATAGCGTATAACACGAGTAAGCATGCCTTTAGGCATGGAAGATTGCAACCAAGACAAATAGAATTGATCTTGTTATTCTCAAACAAGATAAGTTTCAGAAACTTCTCCAACATTACAATTAGTAATTGAAAGAAACTTTTGAAGAATTTAAGTGTTAACGAGAAAGTGATGAAGTATATGGCCCTTAACCACAAGGTAGTTCTTAGTATCCAACTTTTCTAATGTGGTGTGGGAGAAGGTGAGAGGTGGAGATGGGTTGTTTCAATGAACAATATTAATTGACACAATATTGATTGGTAGAGGAGGAGATGGTGATAGAGAAGAATCAACTAACAGAGAAGAATCGACCATGAGAAAAATGTTAAGAAGAACAAGAAATAACAAAAGGATCAATAAATTTTATGATATCATAATAGAGATATAAAGAAAAGTTGAGAAAGAGAGAAAGAGAAGGAAAGAATATTTATGAAACATAGGATATATATTCAACCCACTTAATAGAGATAGTACATGTAATTTATATAGAAACAACAACTTCTAACAAAAAGTATTGAGTTGTAACAATTATTGAGCATAGAACAAAACAATAAATGTGACTAATAACACTTACTAACTTGTGACTAATAACACTTACTAACTAGGAATATAATAGAAAATAATAAAATAGAAATTTCTCTATAAATCCTGCATTAGTGGTGTACATATAAATAAAGAGTAAAATTATACTCCAATAAAATAAGTAAAAAAATTAATTTATAATTATAAGAAAAATAATTTTCATAATTCTTTTTAAAAATAAATCCTGTTCTTGTACTGTTTTACATTCTCAGAACTCTTGTAAGAAAAGAAAAAAAAAAAAAAAAAAAAAAAAAAAAAAAAAAAAAAAAAAAAAAAA